ACAAAGTGAACAATTGCTAATATAAGCAAATAAATTAAAAAACCGAAAAGGAACAAAGTGGACAATTGCTAATATAAGCAAATAATAGAAAAAAACTGAAAAGGAACAAAGTGGACAATTGCTAATATAAGCAAATAATTTAAAAAACCGAAAAGGAACAAAGTGGACAATTGCTAATATAAGCAAATAATTAAAAAACCGAAAAGGAACAAAGTGGACAATTGTTATAAGCAGATAATTAAAAAAAAACCTAATAAATTTAATATTGGAAAAGCACGCCAAGCTGAGGCGTCGCCAACGAGGGAACATCCAGGAAACTCCAGATCGCCTCCAACCATCCAGATCATCGTCCAGCCGTCAGTATCAATCCAGGACATGCTGGTATTTTGTTTGTAAGTCTAGACTAACGTAGCTTACGGAAAATTGTAAAAATTTAAAAATTTTAAGAAATTATATATTTTTTTTGTTAACGTATATTGAAATAGTTTCGACTTTGTAAAATGGACACACAGACAGTTCAGGCGTTATTAAATGCGGCAATCCGTGCAGCCACGGAACAAACCAAGCGACCCAGAGGCTTAGGGTGTTAGAGCTGCCTCCTGCAGTGGTTGTGGTAAACCCAGCCGCCGCAAGGTGCTAGGAAACTCTGGATGTAGTGAAATCCATTCCAGAGTTCAATGGGGACGAGGCAAGATACGTATCCTGGAGACAAGCGGCATTTGCTGCCTACAAATTGTTTGAGCCTTATGATGGTAGTTCTCGTCACTACCAGGCAGTAGCAATCATAAGGAATACGGTCGTAGGAAGGGCTGATTTAGTTCTGTCTTCATTCAATACAGTCTTGAACTTTAAGGCCATTATAGCTAGGCTTGACTTTACGTACGCCGGCAAGAGAGAGAGAGACCGGCCCATCTCATTGAGCAAGAGATGGCAACGTTGAGGCAAGGCCGAATGACGGTCACGCAATTTTATGATGAGGTTGAGAAGAAGCTAACACTTCTAATCAATAAGACCATCATGGTGAACGAAGGCAATACGGAGCTAATAAATTCCCTTAGCCAGAAGTACAGACAGGATGCCCTTAGGACATTCATATCTGGGCTGAAGCAACCAATGTGCGACATTCTGTTCTCGTCTAGGCCAAAGGACATGCCTTCAGCTTTGGCGCTGGCGCAGGAGTTACAATCCAACCACCAGCGCACGGCATTTGCGAACACTTTTGCCACCTATACGGAACGTCAGAATCACTTTAATTCACCCCATTACAAACAAATCTCCCAGCAAACGCAAGGAACGAACGGACCCGTGCCCATGGAGGTTGATGCCTCAACGTCCCGGTTTGTACTAAACAAACCGAACCACCAATTTCCTACCAATTGGCCGCAAGGTACATCTAACCGACTCCCAACGACATCGTACGACAAGAGAACTTTACTGAACTATAGTAAACCTGCCCTAAATGCAAATACTAACGCACAGGGATCTTCAAGACCAGCAGGTCTTAACTTCCAAGACAAAGCAGTAAAAAGACAAATATGTTAAGACAGGCAGCCAATAGCAAAGGTTCAAAGGACTAATAGCTTAGCGCAGAAAGTCGATCCTCAAGCGAAGCACCATGACGAAAGGACCTACGATAACCACTATTATACTTACGATCAATACGACGATACAGAAACCAATTTTGATTACGACGAGGACAAGCTAGGAACTTCAGATGAAGTTAATTTTTTAGGGGACAATCCCTCCTCCCTTACATTTCAAGGACGCTAGGGGGGGGGTAAAGCTTAAATTCTTGATCGATACCGGAGAATCGAAGAATTATATTAAGAACCTAGATGTTTTGAAGGGAATAAAACCCACAAAGNAGCTTAAATTCTTGATCGATACCGGAGCATCGAAAAATTATATTAAGAACTTAGATGTTTTGAAGGGAATAAAACCCACAAAGACCCCATTTTCAGTTCAATCTATTCACGGCAAAACTAAGATCACCTCAGAATGTCTCGTGAATGTTCTCGGCAGAACCACCCCTTAATTGGTTACGACCTCTTAATGAAAACAAATGCGACGATCGACGTAAAGAGGGGAATTTTACACTATGATGGCAAAGAGGAAAGCTTCTTTACCTTTATTCAGGGAAACTAAATCATCATGCGGTTGACAATGCAACCATTGCCCCGGAACTCAGCGATAATTTCTCAGTCATGATGCAAGATCAGTCAAGTGTGTTCGCGGACCCCACAACACCATTACCTTATAACACCAATATCGTTGCTACCATTAGGACTACAGATAATGAGCCCGTTTATTCAAAGGCGTACCCATATCCAATGGCAGCAACCGAATTTGTGAATAAGGAAATAGAGAATCTGCCGAGTATTTTTCAAAGAGCGATCGATGATATCCTTAGGGACGAAATCGTCGGATGTTGTCACGTTTACATAGATGATGTGATTATATTTTCAAGGACAAAGGAACAACATCTCAGGGATATCGGCAGAATTCTTGCCAGGCTCTACGACGCAAACATGCGTGTTTCTTTAGAAAAATTAAAGTTCTTTAAAGGCGAGGTTGAATTTTTGGGCTTCGTCGTATCAGCCAAGGGTATTAAAACCTGCCCTGACAAGGTCGACGCTATTCTGAACTATCAAATTCCCGAAACCCTCTGCTCCCTAAGATACTTTCTTGGCCTTTACGGGTATTATCGGCGATTCATCAAGGATTATGCACAGATCGCCAAACCTCTTACTAAATTTTTACGCGGAGAAAACGGCACAGTGGGCACAAATAAGTCAAAGAAAATTGAAATTATCTTAGATAGCGAAGCAATTACGGCTTTCGAAAAAATCAATAAAATTTTTGCTTCGGAAGAAGTCCTTCTTCTTTACCCTAACTTCGAAAAGCCATTCGCCCTTACGACAGATGCATCTTCGCAAGCAGTAGGTGCCGTCTTGTCACAAGGCGGAAGACCCATTATGATGATTTCTCGAACATTGTCCAGTACAGAGGAGCACTATGCAACGAATGAACGAGAACTATTAGCTATAGTGTGGGCCCTGCAAAAGCTGCGAAACTACCTTTATGGAGTCAGACAACTTAATATTTTCACTGACCATCAGCCATTAATTTTTGCCATATCAGATAAGAGCTCAAACGCAAAAATGAAAAGGTGGAAGGCTTTCTGTAGAGGAGTTCTCCCCCCGATTTTTTTTATAAACCAGGAAAGGAGAATTTCGTCGCAAATGCACTATCTAGGCAGGTTATGAAATCACAGTGAGGAATCCCTCACGCGCACCATACCGACGGTGCAAAACCCAATAAACTGCCTTAGAAACCAACTAATTCTCGACTCGGGGACAACGGCAAGGAAAACTACTAAACAATTTTTTCAAACACAGGTCCGACACGAAATTACATTTTCTTCGCAGGACGACATATTCGACCTGCTAAAGACGGCTGTAAACCCCAATGTGCTCAACGGGATATTTTGCGAACTGTCAGTATTAGGACAGATCCAGGATAAACTAATTAAAATGTTCCAATCCGTCAAGTTCCGTCATACAATGAATAGGGTCATAGACGTCACTAACAAAAGCGACCAAGTCGAAATTCTTGCTACTCAGCACAACCGTGCTCATAGATCAGCACGGGAAAACACCTTGCAGGTTTTGAAGCACTATTTTTTTCCAAACATCTATAAAAGTTCCAAAGAAATCGCTTCTAATTGCAAAATCTGTCTTGAAGCCTAGTATCAACGCCATCCCCCAAACCCTACAATAGGTAAAACGCCAATACCCGCACAACCCGGTGATATCCTGCATTTCGATATATATTCAACAGATATCGTAACGTGTATCGTTAAATTTTCCAAATTTGCCATAGTTTCACCTATTAATTCTAGATCGATAATAGATGAGAAAGGACCAATGATGCAAGCTTTAAATTTTTTCAAAGGGACATCAACGGTAGTATTTGATAACGAAAAATCTTTTAATTCCGAAACAATCAATCTCTTCTAAGGGATCATTTCGGGATAAACACATTCACGACACCGCCATACCATAGCAGTTCTACCGGACAAATCGAGCGTTTCCACAGCACTCTAACGGAGATTGCGCGCTGTATTAAATTAGCGCAAGGAACAAGCGATACCACCGATATAGTCTTGCTTGCTACAGTAAAATACAACAGATCAGCCCATTCTGTCACGAAACAAAAACCAATAGATGTTATCAGTTCGATTCCAGATAGTCTGAAAGAAGAAATGAAGACTCGAATCAGTAAAGCGCAGGACATAGAACTCCGAAGATGTAATGAAAAAAAAATAACGAAATTATTCCAGCCTGGTGATAGGGTTTTTGTCAAAACTAACAAACGCATTGGTAACACTGTGAGACAAATGGTAGGGGTCAGTGATCGGGAAGGGTTCAAACTACCGGGGAAAGTTATATCGGTAAAAAAGAAGTTATACGTGTCCCGGCGTTTCGCTGGGTCACGTCTAGGAATCGAGATATATCGATTTGAAGTTAGTAACTATCATATAGGGGATATTGTCACCTTTGGTGGTATTTTTTTCACATAACTGGAGAACCACTAGTCCGATTTTGCTCAAACAAATTTAAAAAAATTAAAAATTACAATTCCTTTAATCTGTTCATATAACGTTTTTCTATATAATCAACAGTTTTGCCGGTAAAAATAAATGTATGAAGAAAAAAAATATTTTTTGCCTAAAATATTAAATTTTTTTATTTTTTAAATTCATAAAAAATCCAAAACGGAAAAAAAGCCAAGTCGTATTACTTTCACGCAAAGTCACATAACCTTTAAGCAAAATGAGACATAGATCATGAAAATCGATGGACGCGTTTCGCTTTTATTCACAATTAAGTGAAGGTATCTCATTTTGACAAGAATATTGATTTTATGTTTCAATGAATTTGGATAATATTTATTATATATTATTTATTATTAACACGTAAAATTAAAAATTATTACAGGTAATTATTAGGTTATTACATAGATACATAGGTTATAAAAATCGATGAACGCAAAACTTATTTTCGTTTGTTTGCGCCCTTTACTTTCTTGCGTGGTGGTTCGCCCACTTGTTCAGAGTCTGTATCGGATGAGGATCTGTCTTCATCTGGAAAAAATCAATTGTTTTTAATCAGTCAGTTAACTTCATTTTTGTGACTTACCCTCGGAGGAAACTCCCATTGTATATTCTTCTTCTTCATCTTCATTGTCGGGATCGTACGTCTTTTGCGACCACCAACAAATTTCAGCCACCAGCGAATCGAGCCTTTTGCCTTTATATCGCGTTTCCATTGGCATTGCCACTTGATGGAAGCGCTCGCCATGTTCATCCGACTCTGAGGCTAGCTGCTTGCTGAAGTATTCGAGATGGTGATGCAAGAAGTGAATTTTGAGGGACATATTCACTCCAATTTTCTGGAAGTAGTGCAACATCTTGGTCACAAGAGCGGGGTAATTGTGTGCTCGCGTACTTCCCAAAAAATATCGTATGACTTTCTTCACTGCCCTCCACGCAAAGTAATCATTACCGTCTAAAGCACCTTTAAATTCCTTTGATTTCATGAGCTTTCGTATATCCGGCCCATTCAGAACACCTTCCTTCAATTTTGCTTCGCTGATTGGTGGGAAAATATTTTTCAAACAATCAAGAATTTTCGGTTGCTTCACAATGGCCTTGATGAAATTTTTTACGATTCCCAGTTTGATATGGAGAGGGGGCATGAGGACGTTCTCCATTGGCACCAGTGGATCATTTACGCAGTTGTGTCCTTTCTCCGTTGGATCTCGAGCAAGCCAGTCATGCGTTTCGTATTGGTTTCCTTTAAATCGGGTATCCCAAAGACACAAGAAACACATGTTTTTCGTATAGCCTCCTTGGAGACCTCTTAGCATCGCCACGACTTTCAGATCACAACTGATCCGCCACATGTGATCAGTGTAGCAAACTTTATCCAAAATTATTTTCATGGAATCGTATGTTTCGCTCATGTCTGTGCTGTAGCCAATGGGAATGCTTGGTTTTTTATTATATTTATGTAGCAAAACGACTTTCAGGCTTGATTTCGAAGAATCGATGAACATTCGCCAATCAGCTGCGACATAATTAATGGCCATCGCCTCCATCAGTCCCTTTATATCGTGGCAGTAAACAAATGTGTTCCCTTCGTTGAGTGTGTAGTACCGTTGGAATAGCAATTGTCGTCTTCGATATCCGGTGACTTTGACATTAGGCTCCAAATTGTTGCCTTCTTTCAAAAGCTGGGCAAGGTTTTTCTGCTTCACGTTGAGAAAGGTTTAATTCTGCAACAATCTTGTCCATTCTTGCTTGTGATATTGGAATTATTTTGTTCGATGGGCCGGCTTCTGGTGTTGGTTTATAGGTGAAATCCGATTGATCCATTGTTTCAATAGAAAAAGAAGTTTCTCTGTCAGGACTTGGAAGCGGTGGAATTGGTATTTCATCCGAATGCGGTAGAGGTATTTGTGCAATTTTAACTCTTCGTTTAAGGCCTTTACGATTTACTCTACATATTTTGTTTGCGCAAGCGTAACAGTTGTCGGAATTGTGCTCTCCTGGATCAGTCCAAATCATTGGTACACCAAAACGAAGTGAACTGCGTTTCCCTTGGATCCACATGTTAAGACCATTGCAGCACGTTTTACAAATTTTGTCTGGGACCGACGAAACGCCGCGAATTATTTCGGAATCAAAATAAAGTTTAAAAGCGCGCTCCACATGCTCAGCGAGTAATGCAGTATTTGTTGAAAAAGCTCTTTTGCCACAAACGTAAAAAAATAAATTGATATTTTCTGGACAATTTGCACTCATTTCGGTTTTATACTTTTATTACTTTTTCGTCACTTTAAAAAAATCGTACTTTACGCGTTCGGAGACACTTGTTGAATGACAAAAATCGAACAATGAACACCTATAAATACTACGTAAGTTTCAATATTTTACTGAGAGGTACTTATGAATTGGCGCATCTTTTAAGGGTGGCTATATACCTGATTCGTGTGCGTTTTAAATTTTTCGAAACGTTCTAAAACATGACCACTCATAAATGTGGGTGCAATTTGTGTAAAAAAATCATGCAGGTAGCCAACGGAAAAANAAGCGCAGGACATAGAACTCCGAAGATGTAATGAAAATAAAATAACGAAATTATTCCAGCCTGGTGATAGGGTTTTTGTCAAAACTAACAAACGCATTGGTAATAAATTTTCCAAGGTTTATGTGGACAAAACGGTGGCAAAGGATTTAGGGACCACTGTATTGATTGGTAACACACGTGTTCACAAAAGTAATCTTAGGTGACACATTTCCTTCCAGGTTACTGATATTCTACCGCGGCACAGCGGAGCTGCTAGACTATTCATAATTATATACCGATATCTGACGGACTGGTTGCTACCTTTACGGGATACGACTACCTGACCCACCAAACGAACCTAACCGTATTCGTAAAAATCGTCGAAGAAACAAACAACTACGGTGAGCTTTTTCCACATACGCACATAAAGAAACTGCTACAACTCGACTCGGACCAAATTACAAATCTTTTAGGAGTACTAAGAATTCACCACCGACATTCTCGTAGTCTGAACTTTATTGGCACCGCCCTTAAGTATATTGCAGGAACCCCAGATTTCGATGATTTTCACGAGGTCAGCAAAAAAGAAGAAAGGCTTATAGATGCAAATGAGCAGCAGATTAAAATAAATTCAGACTTGCTAATCCAGATCAATAAACTAACGAGAACCATAAACCAACTGTTAGCACACACTAAACAAGCAGAAATAGATACGGCTAATTTATTTAACCTTATCAGTAGCAGAAATAGGGCCGCGATTGCCGAACTAAATAACATAGCTCTTTCCATCACGTTAGGGAAACTTAATATTATAAACCCTGTCCTGTTGGATAGCCAAGAAGTCGAGACTTTTATCAAGACCGAAAAGGGCTTTGCCATTAGCATTAATGATATCATTATTCTAAGCTTAAGATACTGCAAAACAACGAGATTGTCGTTTTTGTAATAAAATATCCAAAAATTAACAATGTATGCAATAAAACAAGAATCTACCCAGTAGTGCACGACAATAGGATTATAATATTAGAAACTAATGTAGTAGCAAAATGTAATAAGCAATACAGGCTAGTTGATAAATGCAAAAAAGCGGTCGCATCGACGTTCTGCGAGGAAATTCAAAGCACGACAAACCCATGTTTACAACAGCTACTAAACAACTACACAGCAACGTGTAGGACTACATCCGCTCACAACATATCGCCCATAGAAATGGTAGACGATGGTGTCGTTATAATTAACAATCGCTACGCGAAAATACAACAAGAAGACAAATCAATGATCACCGTAAATGGCACATACCTAATTACATTCAAAAGCAAAGTGCCCATTAACGACAGTAGTTACATCAACCACAAGAATGAGTACCAACTGACTCCGGAGGCTCACATGGCACAGGATATTAAGTTTACCGAGCACATTGCAACGCTGTCGCTACCATATCTAGACGAAGTCAACATACGGAATTTAAGACATATCGCAACCCTAAGGTACAAAATTAATATAAACTCAATCATAATGTTTAGTTCCCTTAGTGGATTGATTATCTCGGCGGTCATAGCGCTGACTATATTTCGCTGGAGGAAGAATCGGCAGAAACGCACTGTTATAAATTTGATAGAGAATAATATTACCAAGGCCCCAGGACAAAACGATGGCGCGCCCGAGGACGGCCGATTTTAGAAGGGGAGAGTTAACACCAGCGAGAGGTTGATACCCTTCCATAAAGTGCTGACACCCCGCTGGCCAACACGCGCATTCGCTTACCATTTCGTCACAACAAAATCAACAGTAAGCAATTGACTTCTCAGCGAATTGACTTCTCAACAAATTGGCTCTCGATCAACGAAAAGCTACTTCCACTGAAAAGGTGCTGACGCTCGCTAGTCTGCACGCGCATCCGCTTTGTCAGTTCGGTGCAGCGCAAACAGTAGCATAACGACCAACACGAACCATTTCCCATCAAAAGCGCTGACACTCCATTACGGCTTCAGTTTGACAACGAGCAACAACAACAATCAACGGACAGCTATTAGTTAGATTTAATATTTAAATAATAAGTTCTGCCCTTGTATTTGGACTTTTTATGTGCGCACTTGTAGTGAACGGCTGCCCTACATAGTAGGGAAATAAATAATTAATTAAAATCGAGTGTCTCGTGTTTTACTTACATGAGTTTCGTTTTCATCGGGCAATAATAAATATTTTTCAATTCTTTGTTCATATTCATGCAAAAAACAAACGCATAAATGTGAAGCATAAGTTGTCTCCGCCTTTCTCACAAGCTCTGCCAAAACAAACGCGTAAATGGGAAACGTAAGTTATCTCCGTCTGTGCGCTAGTTGCTACATGTAAGTGAGTAAGAAAACACAAACATGCACGAAAGAAAAGACACGAAGGAAAAACGTCAAACTAGTTGGCTGCCAATAGGATTGCCATATGCGGTGATTTCATGAACATTCCGCCCACCTCGTCCTACGTGGGGACGAAGTTATAATGCCTCAGGCCGCCCACCGTCTGCTAGTGGCTTATCGATTGGTAAGATAGAAAGTTTGTTGACGGGTCGTTTGAGCGTGGAAGATTTAGTTTTGACGGTCACCACTCTTACGACGCCATCTGATCCTTCATGGGTGTCCATTATTCTCCCCAAAGGCCACTGCGTTGGCGGTGAACGTTCGTCTCGAATAAGAACAAGCTGCCCAACTTCGATGTTGGGTTTTTGTTGGCGCCACTTGGTTCTGGCTTGGAGTCCTTGAAGATTTTCGTTCGACCATCGTGCCCAGAAGTCATGATACATCTGCGTAAGCTGTTTTCACTTAGTCAGACGTGTCATATTAGCGTTAAATGAATATCCTTCCGGGCTGGTTGTAAGAGATCTGCCGACCAAGAAGTGCCCCGGAGTTAACGCCGTGAGATCGTCGGGATCATCAGCGAGCGCGGTTAGCGGCCGGGAATTGAGGCAGGCTTCAATTTGTTTTAGTATGGTGTACAGCTCCTCAAAAGTTAAAGTAGCTTGTCCAACTACTCGTTTTAGGTGCAGCTTCATGCTTTTCACTGCAGCCTCCTATATCCCCCCAAAGTTAGGGGCGGCAGGTGGTATGAAATGCCAGTTTATTTCCCGACGAGAAGTATACGACGCAGCTGCTTGAAGTTGAGCTTTCAAAACTTCTCGTTCGCTGGCCAAAAGTGCATTTGCACCTACGAATGTGGTACCATTATTGCTGTAGACATCTGTGCAAAGGCCTCGAGTAGCAATAAAACGATTTGGAGCAGCTATAAACGCCTCAGTAGTCATATCGCTCACAAGCTCTAGATGGCAAGCTTTCGTAGCGAGGCAAATAAATACAGCTATGTACCCCTTATAGGCATGATGTCCTCTGCCCTTTGTCGTGCGTACTTGGAACGGACCTGCGTAATCTATTCCGGTATGGACAAATGGCAATGAGACGTTGCATTGAAGGCTTGGTAGTTGACCCATAAGTTGTGTGATTGGTTGACAAGTTTGTCGAAAACATGGCAGACATTTCCTGATGGCACTTTTCACAGTTATACGACCGTTTATCACCCAGAATCGTCGTCGAATGTGGTTGAGGGTTGACTGCGTCCCTGCATGCAGCAACCGATGATGTGCCTGTTTAATTAGTAATAAAGTTAAGTGACTATTTTTGGGTAAAATCAGGCACCCTGAAATTGTGCATATGGAAACTGTGCATACGAAATAATGCATATGAAAAAAACCGAAATAATGCATACGAAAAAAACCGAAATAATGCATATATGCACAGTTTCGGTTGAAAAC